CAATTGCCTTCCTTATATGTGGACCAACAAACACCTTGTTTTACTTTTGCATAAATCAACTCTGGAAACTTGCTGCACAGGTACCGCAAAGCATCTGAGTCGTTGTCTGGTGCCTTCCCAAAATGTTTTATGAGCCCCAACCTCAAGTGAAGCGTTGGCATGATTACGGTGTCACGGTCAATCAACGGCACACGAAGGAATGTTTTCTTTCCTGGGTGCATTCTAGTTCTGAGAGGCCGATTTTTCTTTATGTAGTGGTACCCTTCGGTCCCACTCGAAGATAAAGCACCACGTGGTGTTCCCTGTCTGCATTCCCATGAGAATGGAGATGACTTTTAAATCACTACAGATACACCATTTGTACTCGTAATACCGTATTTTTTTCAAGAAGTAGTGACATAGTTTCATATGACTCTTTCAGGTGGGTAGAATAAATAACTGGTACTGATGCGTATTTGTTTCCATTATGTAATATTTCTGCTTTTAAACTTGTTTTAGATGAGTCTATGAATAATCGTCATTCCTCAACGTTGTATTTCACACCGAGGCTTGAAAAGAGACCTTAAATATCCACACAGTAGCAAATACTGTCACTCACTGCAAATAATTTCACAAGTTCTTTGTGTCGGCGAAAATGTGAGGTTTTTGTTCCCGGTGCAAGCAAATTAAATTCATTAAGGCAGTTCAGCTTCACCTTTCGTTAGTACCAGGTCTCGTACAAGGTCCAAAGCGATCATGGTGATCACGGAAATCACCACAGACGGCCTACGCCTTCAACCCCGATATGCGCCAATGTTAACATATCACGCCAATGTTCGGCACTTGGCGGGATGCGAACCCGCGATCTTCCAATCATTCGTATACTCGGGTCGTAAGGCACTGCCATAACGCTCGCCGCTTCCGGCATGGAAGGTCCTGCGATATACTTTAATTTTCCCACCATTTACACAATATGTCATAAACTTTATTTTTTTTTATATAGAGTGAAAGTGAACACATATCCAGCATGTCAACAACGTTAGAATCGTCTACTTCCACCCAAGAACTAGAAAATAATACAACTTGCAGTCGAGTGTAACTTGAGAAATTCAGTATTAATTTTAGTTCGACAAATCGTCTGAGACGTGCTCATGAAATGGAGAAAAAAGCGGGATGGAGAAATTTCAATGAAGGCTCCATAGTGAACCGATATAGTACACATGCCTCGGCACCACCCATTCTAGGGCCCATCCATTGTAAGTAAACACAAGAAACGGCAATCACAAACGATTAAGCTGAACATGTATAACTCATTTTGCTTAAGAACACTCTTTTGAAAATAGATCGTTTCACTTCAGTTTCAATATGAGATCATATGCAACGATGCTAGTTCAATCCTTTGCATTTCCAGATTCACCTTTCTGGCAATGTAGTCCTCTATTTCTGTTCTCACTCTCCGGCAAAATAAATAAACAATTAAAAATAATTATGAAAAAAAGATGAAAACACTTTCCTGTAGAAATTCATGTTTAACCTCCAGTACCAGAGAACAGAAAACCATTACTTTCAAGTAGAGGAGCATACTCCTTGTTGTACACTCTCCTTTATTTAGACCAGTATGTTAACGAAAGTTATAAAATGTTGATGAGGTCAGAAATAATGATCGTGTGGAAGTGTGGCAGTTAGTTCTAGTGTTCTGATATTTGTAAATCGCTTCGTAAAGGTAACTTGACTTTTAGCACTTAGAATTAGTGGTGTCATAGCATCAAAGCTTAATGGGGTATAATCGAAGAGCGGGAGTATAAAAAACACAATCTTGTATGATCGTTTAGATAAATATCTAAATAGAGATGAAGAACAATTGAATCGGAGTAAACAAAAACGTTCGATGTCCTGGAGCTTCAAATTTTGAAGAACAAGGAAAAAGGTTCTAAGTTCGGGACATTGATAATTTTTTTCTTAATATTAATAGTTGAAGGACACTCAAAAGACGCCACAGACACGAACGTTTATGCATACTAGAAAGTTGAATTTACATTTTATGAACAGTTTCCCAGCGTTATCTCAAAACCGGCAAAATGTGACAAGAGACGTTTTTGTTTGCACCGATTCAATTAATTATTGTTCTCGTCATCTGATGTTTCTTTCGTTAAAATTGGTTCTAGTTAAAATAACTGTATGTTTTAACCAACGCTATATACCCTATTAAATATTATAACAATATTTATGCAATAATTAGAGAAAAGTTGTTCATGATGAAACAAGAAGTTCATTAGTTACTTCGATGTTCGATTATTGCATTTCATCGCTATTCCGTCTTTATTAATCTGAAAAGGTTTACTATTATGGTCTTCATTATGTAACAATGACAATTTTAATTATATCAGAGAATTTTCCTTCACAATATTACAAATTACATTTACGGACCATGTGCCAAGTAATATTTTACAGGTCCTTTGGCCAAAGCATTGAAGTGCCTAGTATACGTTTGCACGTATTTGAAACGAACTAGAATGCAATTGTAAAACTTATTTCCAAGGGGACGAATCTCCATGAAAGACAACTTTTCAAGAGGGGAAATTATTTACATTTTGTCTTGTAGTTCAAGGTGGAATTCAACTGTCTTCGGTTACTATTTAACATAGGAAATACGCAGTGTTTGAACACAGTATTTGGCCGCACGGTGGAGAAGCGTCTTAAAAGTACATTGATAAGTAAAATTAGAAAACAAAAGCAGATACGCCACTTTGGAAACACGCTCTGCAACGGTTTTACATTAAGCCCTTGCAAAAGTTCACAAATCTGAATCTCGTGTTGAATGATAACAAATCTTGCCACAAAACATTTTATAGTACTGCTGCATCAGTGTATTTGTACTGAGTGAGCGCAAATGAAAAAACATGTTTCCCTATCGAATAATCCATGACACGACAGTTGTCGAGGTCTCTCTTCTATGAACACAGTGTTTACAGCGGTGGAGTCCCATTGATAGAGAAAGCTTACAAAAGGAACATGGTCTCTCAGAGCGCAGTACTCCTTTCAAACCGCTAATCAAGTTCTCGACGAGCTCAGCACTGAATAGTGACATGCACGCTCTTACACTCACATATTGTACACCTATTCACTCGGCACACATTCATTGGACTTCGGAATGTTCACGGGAGCTTCGACTGTTAACGTGTTAGCTAATAATGACCAGCATCTAGTTTCGCGAACAACGGGCATCTAACTGTATAACTATCGCCTTTCAAAATGTCTCCTAATGAACATGCAAGTCGGTAAACTACATCGCAAATTGAATGCCAACTTCAACATCCTGTATTCTAGAGAAATGTCAAACGCATCCAGGTCACAGTAATCACGTGAGTTTAGCTTACAACAAACGTTCTACAAATCCGCAAAATGACGAGGTAACTGTAAAATACATTTATAGTGATGGAACATAGTAGAAATTTTAATCAAAGGAATAAGCGCAATAATAATTGGCATACCAAAGGGCATTTAAATCCTTGTATGAGCGTTTTGAGTAACAGGGAATTCCCCTAAGCTTTCAAATACTACAATAGCAGAACGGGGTGAATGACGTTCTGAGCACTTGTCATATACCCTCTATTAACAGTAGAAGCAAGTAGCCATCGTAGGATATAGTTGGCTAAACAATTTTCCAAATATTGGTAGTGATTGTTGCTGGGGTGTCTCGCTGCCGTGCACAATCTAGTGTGGAAGATGTCACTTAGTAGACTGTCACCACATACGGATACTACCACGGGTATCCTCGGTTATACCCGGTTTCTCGGCGACAACAACGACAGTTTGTAGCACATACTATAGTCTGTTGTGAGGTCTCCTTGCTATTTCCCATAAACTCTCCTGCAAATAGGATTACATGTTCGTGCAACCTTTTGTGACCAACTAGGCAGCAATTTTGTATTGCTGAAACTTTTCGTCCAACATACTGAACAATACGTCTCGGCTCAAACTCTACGAAAGGGGCTCACCTTCACCATAAGACCTGCAACTCCATTCTTTCCCGGCACAATGCTCACGATCAGTTCGTCAACTGTTGACTGGTAAGGTCGACTAATACGATTGTTCCCGATCCCTTCCAAGACGGTGTTACTCGCATTTCATAACAGGCCTCCATTGGTATGCCCGTAGCTTCTATTCGGCGCATTTGTAACTGGACTTCTTATGTGAGTTACACTGTTGAGTTCAAATTCCATCGGATACATTTGGATATCCGGCAATTCGTGAGGAGTTGCCATCAAATCACTATGAACTGTGTGCATTATCACACGTGCTGTGTCGCATCCCGTTATACATCCATGTTTGAGGGACATGACGAATATATGTAGTACTTAAGGTAATTTAATTTCTTAATTTTATTCATTCAAAAAGTAAAATATTAAAATAATACATTCTATATAATAAATTAATGTTGTAAAGGAAAGGTAAACAACGCAATTTTGGTGAAATATTATTTTCTGACTACATGATATTTTTACCTGAAGCTAAATCAGAACAAAGTAGCTTCCAAACTCACCAGTAAGTCATGGAGAAACACGCATATTCATACGACGCTTTTTTCTAGTAGAAAAAAACGACATATTTACGTAATTTTCTAAAAAACGTTGAGTTGTGCATTATCAACTTTCCTTCACATCGTTCACATGATAATTGAATAGCTTTGCGCAATTTCTAGGTAACATGGCAGCAAGGGGGGCGCGTGCATTCAGCAGGCCGCCTCCAGGCCTGGTGGGTTGGAAGGCTGAAGGACTGGGGGCCTCAGGCCTGGAGGTCTGGAGGCCTTTGACGGCGGAGGGCTGGCGAGCTGGCGGGCAGCGAAGGACGAAGGGCCCGCGGCCTCGAGCGCGCGCCGCCAGCTGCTCCAATGGCACACACAAACTTTCTTGATTGCTGCCTCCAGCCTGTACTGCAAAGTTTTTCATTTCAGCGGATCGCCAGAGCACTACTTCTAGTAGACTAATAATAAAGTTTGTGAGTGCGCAGACAGGAGGCCGATGGAAGGGAAGCCCGAAGGGAAGCCCGAAGGGAAGCCCGGCCGGGAGAAGAGAAATTCCGTCGCTGGAGAAGTCCTCCTGAAGGAGCGCCTGGAGACGCCGCTCGGCCGCGCCTCATCACATCATGAGTTAGATGCAGACATCCGGGGCGCCAACTTCGTCATCGTTCGCCGCGAAGCGCTGCGCTTTGCTACAGCTTTTCCACATCAGCTAAAGATATACTGTCCCTGGCATCCATAATAATTTCCAGTTCTTTATTAAGATTCCTTCTTCTTCTTCTTCTTCTTTTTCTTCTCCTACTTCTTTTTATTATTTTGTTTTGTTGATGTTATTTATACGGGCATTTGTGAGATCACCCACTCCTAGGACAATTTTTTAAAAGAAAAGGGATCTTAATTTATGCTCAGGGAGAGAGAGAGAGAGAGAGGAGAGAAAGAGAGAGAGTAATGAAGTATTAAAATAAAAAGTATTCAAAATTGCATCAATTCCTCTTCTATTGGATGCGCCTGTGCCGCTAAAATTTTTGAACACCGCAATACTAAAATTTAGCGCTCAATTTTAAATCACAGCCCGGAGAAAAGTCTTTGCTGGTTGAACACTCGCAGATGCAACGGTGAGTGAGGCGATCCCCATGTGAAGACTCGTTACTCGTCCTAGGCCCTCATACCACAATGCAATCGAGTTCAAATATGTGTAATTTTCGTAGGTGTTAAATTAGTAGGAAAGGTTGTTGTAGATTAGATCACTTTTTATAATATCTGACTAAAAACTATCAATTCACGTTTTATTTTAGTTATAAGTATTCTATCTTCTGTAACATCAATTCAAATTTGATTTTCACTAACTATAAATGGTAAGACAAGAAATGTTAATACAACACCCTCTCCTACTATAATATTTCGTAACCTAGGGGGTAGGTAAGGGGGGATCGAAAATATAAGGGCAGAGGCGCTGGTGCGGACGATCTTCTGTGGCGCTGTTAGATTTCAGGTGCTGAGGAGCTTCAGCCAAGCACTGGAAGGAGACGGCGGGACGCCCACGCCAGAAAATTAATAGTTAAAATAAACGTCGGATAGATTAGTATGTATTCGGCTTCTGACGGCAGGTTTTTCCCCCTTCAGGGGTTTTTTCCTGAGCTGTATCTTATGGTCTCTTTTCCGCGGCTTTGATGCAATGGAGAGATCATTTGGGGTGAATACCAGAATTCGAAAGATTAGAACGCGAAAGGATGTAGGTATTGTAATGGCTTAAAGGCCTTCGGCCTAGCCACATAGGATCAAGTGAGCTAATTTGTTTGTAATAATTACCTATTAAATAAAAAGAAAATAAAAATAAATATTTCGTAACCGCTACGAATAATAGGAAAAAGTATGCGCTGTTGTAGCAGCACTATTTTTTTTCCCATACCGTGCATTTGCCAATATATCGTGAATGTCATTACTTCTTACATTACTACCGTCATTCCTTGTGCTCTAAATGTTTCGCAACGAGCAACGAACAAATGTTCAACGGTGCAAGGAAGACATTTAGTGTCATTCTCTAAACCTCAGAAAGCTTGCCTGCGACTGAAGCACGTGACAATCGTCATTGCGTGAGCGAGGCCTCCCGCGCGTGACACGCGCACGCGCTTTCGCCTTCCACCTCGCGACGACCGCCGCCGGCGCGCCGGCGCCCGGCCGAGGCAGCGCGCTCGCTTGCGGCTGCACAGCGCTCATCCACCGTCTGCCGGAGCGAATGAAGCGGCCGCGACCAGAATCGAAGTCGCCGGCGATAATGAACAATGGCGTATTGCTCAGAGCGATGCGCGGCACGCGCGCCACGTCATCACGGCCGTCGCTGGTTACGGCGCCACCCCCTTCCTCGCCGCCGGCGCTCGCCGAGATACGGAGGCGCGCCGCTAATGGGAAATAAACAGCGAGGCGTTTGGCTGCAACACGACCCGCCCCGCGCCGCCCCGGTTCGTCTTGCATTGCCACGAAACTCATCTCCGCCCTCGCCTTCGCCCCCCCCTCCACGCCCTCGCTTTTCCCTATGTCGTCGCTTTCGCCCTCCCTTTACCGCCCCGGTCAGTCACCTCTGCCCTGGTGACTAGTGTCATTGGCCGGTCGACATAAAGGTTGCGCCTAGTGAGCTGTTATCTGTACAACGTATGGTTTCTCGAAACCTAAGCATTCGAGAAATTTGCTTCCTTCTCCACCCACTCATCACAGCTAGGTTCGCTCCCACCTTGTCACCAGCAAGGTACGAAATATTGACACAATGTAGAAACCTGCAGTACGAGTTTCTACTGGTACTGAAGGTTTTTAACACTCGCGATAACAATTACAATATAAGACATCTTGTATTGTACACTAGTAGACAATATAGCATTTGATTAAGGAAAATTTACACTTGGCATTACAAGAGAGCTCATAGGAGCTACTTTCAGAGAAGGACCAAACGGCTACCTCGAAACCAGAAGTGGCGGGTATTCTTATGTCACATTTGCAGCAAGTCATGCGGAATCATTCATTTTGTTTGGATTGATTGAGTGCATACCTAAATTTATATATTTAAATCCAAAACTGAATATATTCTAACAATAAGAAACTTCAATTGTACTCTTAATTATTTCATTTTCATTCTATTGTTTTCGCAACTCTCAGTTGGCAAAGGTCAATAACATCATGAAGCGTGTGTGAAACGTGTAATGTTTCGTAATTTTCGTTCGAGTTAATGTCTTTGTTTATTATTTACATCCAATAGAGATACGATACTGATTCCAATCCATTTACTTCTTTACTTTTTTTTAGAAAGCAATTTTACACATTAGTTGAGAAAGTGTTTTACTGAGGGCTTGTTAAAAAATTATACGTGCAATACGTACACGGGTTAATTTGCGTACCTGTTACGCAACAATTTTTTTTTACAATCCGGAGGAAACGATTGATAAGTAAGGATCGGGAAAAATAGTTTACCCCGGTAAAATACTTATTGGGTAATGTACTTTACTCGATCACACAACATATTTAATTGTAATATGTAAATTCAAAAATATAGTAGTTTGAATTCATGTTTCTTAAATACACAAGTCTTCAGTCAATTGCATAAATTATTTTAAAGCCCATCATCTTTTGTGGATCATTAAATCTGTATGGTTAAACACAGATGCAAAGGGCTGCCAATTTTTCCCTCCCGAATCTTGTTTCTCCAAAATTTCGGTCAAGTATAAAATAATCAATAAAATTGTCCTGTTTAAATTTTCAGATAAAAAGATTTACCGCGTGCAAAATTTAGAGTGCATTTTCCTTAAATAAGTAAAATGTGAAAATCTCTCATAAATCGCGATCAAAGACTCCCAGTAAGAAGGAAGTTAAAGGAGCTGGTAGGGTAGGGTATGGTGTATGTAATTCTGAGATGATGTTAGAAATCGGCGTCGCTATTAATGTGACACAAACGGACTCGGGGGATACATCAGCGGAAGACATATATTAAGTGCCAGGGAAGGAAATGAAAGCAAGGTGCGGCGACGTGGGCCACGTCAGAATACTAAGTAAGTGCCAAGAATAATTGGGTTCCCGTGTAGGCAGCAGCGCCTGGAGGAGGGAGCAAAACCGGCAGAAGCAGGAACTCGGCGAGGAAGAAGAGCAAAGGGGAAAACAAACGAGGTAAAAGGAGGGACGACAAACGTTCATGGGCATTAAACACCGAAGTCGAGGGTTAGACAAGGGCAGATGTAAACCATGATGAGGTGATGAAAGAGATATCGTGAGAACGACGGATGAGGGTGCGCGGGCAGGAGAACGCAGGGGCGCGAAGGGGTGGCGAGTCCGGCTGCTGGAAATTGACAGAGCAGACACCGAATAAACGAAAGGAGGCCAACGATCGTGTGCCGCAGCGGGATAAATGCGCGTTGGCAGGGAGCGCCCCCTAAAGCCGCATCTCCATTACTCAACATTTAACATCAACATGTCAAGCGTTAAGCGTATACATGTTTAGTCTCGCAACATGTGAAGTGCGGTATATGCCGAGTGCTACGGGGTCTTTGTCTGATGTCGACATGGCTTTTGTTGACAAGGAAGAAGTATTCAGGTGAACTTTGAATTTAAATTATGTTAACATTATATTATTTTTCTATCTTCTAGGTACCGGCTATTATAGGATATTTTGCGCGTCTCCAACAACTACGCAGTAATTAGTGTAAGCAATAACAGGCAGATATTGCATAGGAATATTAGTTGCGGGTTTCCAACAAGGATATTAAAGATGCCTCCATCAATTCTACACTACACCAGTAAATCGATCCAGCAGACGCCTTTCAACAATAGCTCTCAGATTAGCTCGGAACGCCAAGCTGCTAAGGGAAAACGCACCGTTTATTCGATACGTTCTACACCGGTGCGAATCAGAGAGAAATACGTCACTTGGCCACTGCAGATAACTATTGTATTACATTACTCTGGAGAAATGTACACAACTTAATAATTTTTGTGGAATTCTCAAGTGGCTCTGTACATACCGGAGCACCTGTCGGTTGAGTAAGACGATGGGTTCGTACGAAAATACATACGAAAGCAGCACAAATCAGACGATTTTGCTCCTGTTGTGTAGAATATAAAAAGGGGCGGATCCAAGGAGAATTTTATGGGGGCTCAAAACATTTGGGAAACTAAAAATGGAAGTGCATAATTTTTAAAACATTGTATAATTCAGAAAGAGTAACATAATGATTAAAGCAACTTCATTTTCACCAATGTACTGGAACTAAGTTTATACATTTTATTACTTCCAAAAACTGAACTTTAGACATTTGCTCTTAAAAATGGAACTTTTTGAAACAAAGCAAAGAGGTTGAGCGGCACTTCCGCCTTTCCCCGCATCCAATTGCCCCGAGAACCATGGTAGGTTGAGAAGTGGCATTGCGACCGGCAAGGAAGCATTAAGGAGGGGCGCAAAAGAATGGCGTGCGTCGTGTGGCGAGGACATGTTTGCGGCGTTCCATCGCGGCCGCCGCCGCCGGCACGAAGCATGCGTGACCCACGCGGGCAGGGAGAGGGAGCCCGCCTTGTCGGCGCGGACCGCCAGCGTGGCGTGCGGTGCGCTGGCACTTACCATCCCCGGACTCAAGCGCCTGCCCGCAGCCGCGGCCAGCTGCGCCTGCAACACGCGAGAACGCGTCCATCGGGGGCCCTGCCGGCCCCGCCCCCGCCCCTCGCCCCCGCCCCCGCCCCGGCGCTCGCAGCGAAGGAGCGGGAGGGTCG